AGGAAGGAAGGAGCAAACATATCCCTCCGGCCTGCACGACAGGCCCGATGGGTGGGCTGCCCCGAACGGAAGATAACCACCCACACCGCAGAGTCCGGGAGCCATGCTGGCGCAGCTCCAAGCCCTGCCTGTTAACTACTGAGGTTTTATTGGGTCTAAAATTTTCACTTAGGTGAAATGAACTCAGGAATTGGAGTGAAGGTCAGAATGAGGTTTGGAGCTCGCCCTTCTGATTGCTGTGCTATCTAGCCAGACCCTCCCCTCATCCTGCTTCTCCAGTTTTCTCATGTAAAACAAAAACAAAAATGCCAATCTGAGGACCACACATATTGTTACACACACACACTGGGAGGGAGGACTCAGCACCCACACACTAGAAAGGAGAGTGGTAGCTGCAGAGATTTTTTTTATAGTAAACACTATTTTTTAAGGGGATTCACCACCACCCCCACCACCCCCGTTGCTTCTAAATAACTATTTGAGTTTTCTACCCCACTTCAGACCGTTTAGTTCCCAAATAGAAGACACACAGACCTTTTAGATTAAAAATCTTTAAAGCACAATAACTGGGCAGGTATCAACCCTCTAAGCCACTTTGCTCTTTCCCAGCAACACACCCCAAGTTACATGCCATAACTGTCCCTGCCTGAACTGCTTCTGTTCCATCAGGCCAGCCCTCATGGTCATGTGGTCACAGTCCCTACTGCCCCATGGCAACTTCCTCATCTCCAGCTTCCTCTCCTGCCTCTTCGCCTTCTCCCTTCAGCCCCCAAGCCCTGGGAACCTTCTCTCTGCCTACTTCTCTTCTGCCCAGTTATTTGCTGTCCAGCCTTTCTTATTAACCAATCAACTTTAAACTGGGGAGTAAGGTTTACACAACAAAGGCTGGTGTGCATGAGAATGCCAGTCGGTGACAGTTCTCAGAAGAGAGGGCTTCTGGCTGTTTCTGCCTGGCCCTTTCAGACAGTTCTCCCAGGCCTGGTTTGTTTGTGTCTTGGACCCACTCTGGAGACCAGGCTAGCCTTGATCTCTTAGGCATCCACCTGCCTCACTGTGCACCAGACATCTTCTAATCCCTGCTCTTACCAGTAAGGGATCTTCTCTTTTCTCTCTCTCTCTCCTTATTTTTATCTATTTGTTTTAAAGAACAGTCATTGTGTTCTTGTTCTTCTAATCAGTGTTACATATCCATCTGCATGTATGCACATTTGGGTGCAGGGAAGTCAGGCTGCTTGGAGCGGTCCTTCCAAGAGCGTGCCCCTTCTGGACCCATAAGAGAGCCTCTGTAGCCGGGCGATGGTGGCACACATCTATAATCCCAGCACTCTGGAGGCAGAGGCAGGCGGATCTCCCGGTTCTAGGCCAGCCTGGTCTACAGCTCGTGCTCTAGGACAGCCAGGGCTACACAGAGAAACCCTGTCCTGAAACCCAAAAGTTAACAGACAAAAAAAGAGATCCTCTCTAGTTCTGCTTTTTTGAGATGGTAGCCGAGGTTGGCCTCACACTGCTGTCTTATGGTGGAGGTTGATCTTGAACTCCTGATTTCCCTGCCTAGACTTCCTAAGCCCTGGGATTACTGGCCTGTGACACCATGGAGCCCCTCCCCCAGCCTCCCACTCTAACCTCTCCTTACCAGAAGTCTCTTAAATGGGAAACTTCGCCTCCCTCCTTCTCCCATCGTTCCGTCTTCCCTCTAGGATTCATTCACCCAGTTGCCAGCAACTGAACACTGAAAAGCTTTGGATTATGGGATTGGAGAGATGCCTCCAAAGCTGAAAGTACTTGCTGCACTTGTAGAAGACTCAGGTTCCCTTCCCAGTGGCCACATGGTGGCTCACAACAGTCTAACTCCAGTCCCAGGGAATCTCATACCCTCTTCTGGCCAGAAACTTCTGGCCAGAAACTTCTGGCACCAGAAACTTCCATGGTGCACATACACACATGCACACAAACACTCAAACACACAAAAGGAAATAAATCCTCAAGACCTAAGTATGTAATGGAGCTCTCCTTGGGAGAGGAGATGCATGAAAGATACATATATACATGTATACGTATATTGTGTGTATATATACATGTAGATGTATATTAAATATTTTAAAATTATATATAGTTATAAATTAATAGTCAATATAATTATATGTCATCTTATGAATTTTATATAAAATATGTTTATAATCATATATAAAATTATCTAAGTATATATCCATGGGAGAGGAGGAGCATGAAAGTAATGTATATATACATATTTATATACATATACACACATGTATATGCACACACATTGCTTTCATGAACATCCTCTCCCATGGATACATGCTTAGATAATTAATATGTAATATATGATTTATAATTAGCATATATAATATATTTATATTTATATATAATGATTGCCAAGGGAGGCTGCAGCAGGGTGGTTTTGACACAGAAAAGAGGCACTGGCTAGTCAGTAAGCCCTTCATGCAAGTAAGTGGACCTAGCCGGGCCCTACAGGTGAGCAAGAGGCAGCCAGCAGTTAAGGAAGACACACTGCGTGGAGGAAGCTGTCCGTTGAAGGGCATGGATCAGGAGGGGCTGAGCGTGTTGCATGGAGGAGGGGAAGAGAGGGAGGTACAGACTGAGGACATGAGGGCCTATAGGATACGGACATTGTCCCTTGGTCTCGGTTCCTTGGAGATCGGGCAGGGTAGGTTTTGAAAGCCCCTCATTGTGGCTCGATTGAAAGCCACCCAGATGGCCTTGGGGAGGAGCTGGGCAAAGAGAGAGGGCAGGTGGTGTCTACTGAGGGGGACATAGAGGTTGGCAAGACATAAAGTTGTGGGGGAGATGGTAGCAGCCAGAGGAGGCACAGGAGGAGTGGAGATTTCTTTTGAATGTGTTCATACCAGTCTGGACTTGGGGGCTCAGTGTCTAAAAGGCAAACACGGCGCACCTGACACTATGGCCCAGAGCAGACAGACAGGCAGAACATGGCGCAGAGTCCTTCTGGGCTCTGTCACAAGCAGGAGGTGACATCTGAGTGACTGCGAACAACCAGACCATCGTGAGGCCACGGTCAGGCCATGAGTCTTTTCATAGTGAGAAGAGACACAAGAGTGGGAAGGGGTAGACGAGGGTTTGAATAAGAAACAATGGTTCCTAGGGAAAGCGTGACCCTTTAGGTCCTAACGTTTAGGAGGTGAGGGAGCAAGGAGACTGTATCATCTACCTCAACCACAGTTTTTCAGCCATGGCAGACAGGGAAAATAAATCGTCCTCACACGCATGGTCCTGGCTCCCATGGGTGCTGCCTGCCCCGGGGAGAGGCAGCAGTCACCTCAGCACTGTTTCTCTGGTCTCCTCGGGGTTGGGTGGGAGGAACGTGGAGTCATCATTTAGACTAGCAGTTCTCAACCTGTGCGTCAAGACTTGGGAGTCGAATGACCCTTTCTCAGGGGTCACCTGAGACCACAGGAAAACGTGAATATTTACATTACAGTTCCTACATTACAGTAGCAGAATGACACTTATTAAATGGCCACAAAAATAACTGTGCAGTTGGGGGTGGGTCGCCACAACATGAGGAGCTGTATGAAAGGGCGGCAGCGACAGGAAGGTTGAGAACCACCGCTCTAGACTAAGGTGAACCAGTCTAAGGTGCCTGGTTATTTCTGGAGAGGAACGAGAGGGGCTGGCTCGGATGATACATGTTACAGCAGCCACTGCCTGGAACAGCCTCACCTCACCTCGATACGACAACCAGTCAGTCCCACCTCCCCTCACCAGGAAAAGACAGTCAGTCAGTGACACCTCACCTCACCAGGAAAAGACAGTCAGTCAGTGACACCTCACCTCACCCTAATAAGACAACCAGTCTGTACCACCCCACCAGACTGATGAGAAAACTGTACTGTGGGAGGGTGAGGAACCGAGCCAGGCTCAAGTTGGGTGACTGAGTGACATTTCACCGGCACCTTGCCACCAATCTTACGGGAAAAGATCACCCTGAAAATTAAAATTACTAGACAGCAAAACCACTGTAACACATTTACTGTGTTGCTCTCTCCTTGACCATCAGACAGAAGCCCAAAGTAGAAAGCTTTCTGGAAACAAAACAAAACAAAACTTTTTTAAAAAAAATGTGACAAGTTTGTAAAAACTCAGAACTTTGCCTCTTTGAATAAAATGAGATTAACAGTCTTATGTAACTATTGGCTTCCTCATTAGTCAGTGCTACTGAAAGGAACTTAGAGGGGGAAGTCAGGCACAGGGCTGCCTCCCTGTGCTCTCAGTGAAGTAGAGGCAGGAGGCCCAGAAGTTAAGGTCGGCCACAGCCACATAGCAAGCCTGGGTTGCCCAGAATCCTGTCTCAAAACAACAGGCACAGCAACAAAGAATTTCAGGGCTGGTGGGATGGCTCAGTGGGTAAAGGCTCTTGTCACCAAGCCTGATGACCTAGATCAGATCCCTGGAACCCACGTGGTAGAAACAGAACAACTGACTCCCACAGGCTGTTCCCCGAGTTCCGCACGACTGCTACAGCGCGTGGGTAGCCCCCTCCCTCTCTCCATAAAAATAGTAAAAACAAGAAAAGAAATTAAAAAGAATGTGGAGTGGGAAGGTTCTAGTACGCAGTTTTCTTGCGTTTATGACAGGGTCAGTCAAAGACGAGAGGAGGAGGATGATGTGGACGCTCCGAGGGTCTGGTAAATCTATTCACCTAAAAAGATATTAACATTCCATCCACATATTTTTGTATTGGTTTGTTTGGGACGGGGTCCCTTTGTAGCCCAGGCCGGCCCTGAACCTGTAAGTGTTGCATCCTTAGGCTGGAATTACAGGCCTACGCCACTGCGTCCGGCAGCCTTCCATTCTCTACATTTGAACTGCTCCCAGCTTCTTTGTCCTCACGTCCTGCTATTGTGCACAGGCCCCTCCCCCTCCCCTGGGGGTGGGGCGGGCTGGGACTTGTGGGAGGCTGTTAAGCTTTAAGAGAATGACAGGAGCCTATGTTCTCCTAGACGACGGCGACGCTGAGAAACCTGGTGGACTCCCCTCTGACGAGAAGCAAGCTCCTGAACCTGGGGGCCATTCCCCAGCTCTGCACAGCGATGGAGCAGTACACGGGCGACAAGGACGTCTGTACCAACATCGCCAGGATATTTAGGTAGGTAGACTGTAAGAGACCCCGCTGGAAAAAAAAAAAAAAAGTACACTTGTCAGTTTTCGTAACCTCGGAAGAGGAAACCTCAACTGAGGAAGTGCCTCCGTGGATCGCCCGTGGGCGTGGCTGTGGGGACATTTTCCTCATTAATGTGGCCCGGGCCCACCTCGGGAAGCACCATCCTGGGCAGGTGGGCCTGGGTTCTGTGAAAAGCAGGCTGAGCAAGCTATGGGAAGCAAGCGCTAAACTGCTTCTCTCTGGGGTCGGCTCCAGTTCCTGCCTCCAGGTTCCTGTTTGAGAGTCTGCCCTGACTTCCAGTGGTAAACTGTGACGAGGAAACATAAGCCAAATAAACCCTTTCCTTTTCCTACCCCAAGTTGGTTTTAGTCGATTTTTTTTCCCCACAGCAAAGAGAAGCAAACTAGAGCAAATGCCGACATATATGCTGAGTTCTCTCTGTTATTTGTGTGTATGACTGGAAAGGACTCTTTTTTTTTTTTTTTTTTTTTTTTTGCATTTAAGTTCATCTACAGGCAACATTTTGAATGTAGTTTAAAATAGCCAGTTTGACTTGATTTCTTGTGTGAGTGTAATGCAACCCTAAGCTTATGAATTGCCAGTCACTTAGAACCTAAGAAGGCTGTGAACTAGCCTAAGGTGTTTGTTATTTTGCTTGAGTGTCTTCTTCACCCCTTGGAGATAAAGAACTATGTACCCCGAAACATGTCAAACTTTTTGGCATACAGGAAATGCTACCTAAGTGCTCTAACTAAAAAAGGAGATTGCTGATTCAAGCCTGATCTGACTTAGTTTGTAATAGTTATTTTTGAAAGGTCTTTGATGGGGGCTCAAGAAGGACACTGAAACAGATTGTTGGAGGATGGAGTCCATTAGGAGATGCGAATGCCATGGAAATACAGACAGATACATGGTGGAGACTCTGAAGAGAGGAATAAGACTGTACGTGGCAAAAGTGGGTCTTATTCTTATAGGTTCTGATGAGCGAGCTTGCACAGCTCACACCCGTAGCTAGGCCAGGCCCTCTGGTTCCCAGGCAGGAGGCAGGGAAAGGTTTGGGGGGCCGGATAAGTGAGCAGCACCCCTTCTGATGGAAACTCACATCTCCAGGTGCCGGCGCTTCTCTGGTGAGATCGGCAGGCCGTGCTCAGTGGGTGCTGTACGGGTCTGCCTGAGGAGGGCCAGGCTGCGGCGCCAACTGGCCTGCGAAGCTCCATTCTAACATTACATTCTTTGAGTTCTGTGTCGTGTGTCTGAGCTTGGACCCACACAGGCAGCGGTCACCTTTGCACTTTTTCTGTTTCACGTGTGGTGATCATTTGAATTCTAGGTTGTCTGAAAGTAGCCGGATGTTGATACATTTCAGAAATGCCTTTAAATTATGCCTTTACGTTTTCCGTTCTATGTGCTTGGCTAACGGTCTTCCAAGAAGATTCCCCCTACGGCTTTCTCTCCCTCCTCCCTCTCCCTCCTCCCTCTCCTTCCCCCTCCTTCTCTCTCTTTCTTTCTCTCTCTGGTCTTACATCGTACTCCAAAGTCCAGTCCTGTTGTCTTATCATCTTATCCTAAGTCCTAAGAGTATAGGTATGTGCCACCTCACCTGTTTTGTTTTGTTTTTTTATCTCCTTTAATACAATTTTCTAAATATCTCTATAAGGATTTTACATCCTTTCAAGATGTATTCCTGTGTCCTAAAGAAAAAAGTCACTTCCTCATAGGCTATACTGATGATTGTAAATACAATCATATTTACTTATTAATTTTATATTCGGAAATCTGGTAACCATTATGTCTGTAGATTCTCTTCTATTGTCTACACAAATTTTCTGTAAATGAGAATGATTATTTTGTTTTTTGTCAAAATATTGCAACTTTTCCCTCACCTCTTTAATATATTTTTAATTTAATTAGTTAATTTGTTTCTGTGTTGAGATAGTCCCCACCCCATAGTCCAGGCTGGCCTTGAACCCCTTGAAATCCTGCCTCAGCCCCCCAAGTGCTGTTGGAGCCCGTCTTTTCTTTATTGCATCACTTAGGACTCTAATACAAAACTGGAGAGAACTGGCTATCTTCTTCCTCACTTTACAGAATTAGTTTATGAGCTCACCAGCTGAAAATAATTGTTGTAGGCTCCCCCCAGTGCCCTTTGGAAACCGAGATCTCAATGTGTAGACCATGCTGGTCTCCAACTCACAGAGCTCTGTCTAGCTCCCTCCGCCTCCGGGGAGTTTTTCTTATGGTAAGATATTATGCAGCGTTGGAATTAGTTAACTGATACACGGTTGCCTTTCCCTTTATCACATTATTTTTGTGTTTCCAGTTATGAGTTTATAAGTCAGAAAATAAGTGGGAACATGTAATCAAAGTACGTGTGGTTAATAGCTACTGATTCAATTAATTAATGGTTCCTTCTTTGCTTCCCACTCTCCCCCTCCCCACCCCCGCCAGACACGCCAGATTCTCATTGCATTACCACATCTGATCCCAAGCCCCTGAGCTCCAGTGGCCCTCCTTCCTCTGGCCCCATGGCTACCTAACGCACTTGTCTAATGAGCGTGCACGCTGTCATGTTTTCCACTTGGTTCGTCTTCAGACCGTTTTATTTTTGAGAATCTCATTTTTCCCATAACACATTCAATCAACGCTCAACAGTTCCATCCCAGCTTGTGGGTGGCTGAGGTGACTGGTGGTTTGAGACCAGCTTGGGATATGTAGTAAAATCCTGTTTCAAAAAATAAAGCAATATGTAGTGGCCATAGCTCTGTGGCAGAGCGTTTGCCCAGCCTGCCAGACAGGGTCAGTTTCTAGCCCCTCGATTAACCAATCTTCATTTTGGTCAGTAAAAAAATTGTCCCTAAGGATACAGTTTTAATATTTGTGCTGTACTTACCGTGTGCTGGGCAGTCTTCTAAGTGCTTTCCAGGTGCCAACCAAATAGGTACCGTTATTGTCTCCCTCATCCCACATAGGAGGAAACTGAGGCACAGAAACATGCAGTCGCTTTTTTCTAAAGTCACAATCTGCAGGTCGCAGAGCTGCACGCAGTTCAGGCCAGGCATTTTGTCTCTAGAACTTGTACTTTTTACTCCCATGTTATGTGGCCTCTTTGTTATTAAAATTGCTTTTCATGTTTAGTTTGACTTTCAATCATTTAAAATTTTTCCTTGATCAGTCTTGCTTGCCAAAGCTTTGACAGACATTCACTCTTTTTTTTTTTTAATTATTACTATTTTACTTGAGAGGCAGAGGCAGGAGGATCTCTGTGAGTTTGAGGCCAGCCTTGTCTACAAAGGGAGTTCTAGGACAGGTAGACCTGTTAAATAGAGAAACTCTGTTTCCCAACCCCATATATATATAATTTTATGAATACTGTTAGTACCTGTGTGTACGTATGTGCTGGGTGATCTGAGAGTTACGAAGATGCTGCCTCATCTACTGGGGTTGGAGTTACAGGCGGAGGCACCGTGTGGCTGCTGGAAACTGAACTGGGTCCTCTGCAAGAGCAGTGAGGGCTCTTAACTGCTGAGCCACCTCTCCAGCCCCAACTCATTAGTGTTTGGGTTTTTTTGGTTTTGTTTTTTGTTTTTTTGCAAAGGATAAATAGATGTGTTGATCCATTTCATTGTATATTTTCTATCTTACTATTCCTGCCTTTGTCCATACCAACCCTCCTTCTTTTACCCTCTGTGAAAATGTTGTGTTTTTCTTCTGTCCGCTTTAGTTAGAAATTCATTTCCTTTCTTTTTGGTATTATTAAGGCTATTAATTTTCCTCTGCTGCTTTTAGCTGTATCTTACAAATTTTAATTTGCAGAATTTTTGGTTTTTATTCAGATGTAGTTTTAGATTTTCTAATTTATTTGAGCTGTAAGTTACATATTTTAAAAAGTTTTATAATATGTGGGAAACATATTAATATATTTTAAGCTCCTAGTGTGGCACATCCCAGCACTTTCAGAGGTAGAAGCAGAAAAATTAGGAGTTCGGGGTCATCCTCAGCTACACAGTGAGTTCAATACCAGCCTGGGCTACATGCAACTCTGTTTCCTAAAAAAAAAAAAAAAAAAAAAGGTGAGTTCAAGACCAGCCAAGGCTATATGCAGCTCTGTTTCAAAACAACAAATGAACAAAAAGGGCTGGTGAGATGGCTTAGTAGGTAAATGCACTTGCCACTAAGCCCAACGACCTGAGTTCAAGTCTGAGGATCCAGTTGTAAAGGAGAGACCCAAGTCCAACCACGTGCACACACACTCAAACGCACGCGCGCACGCACACACACACACACATATATGCACACTCCCTGACCTGGTATTCCAGTGTTATCCAGGCCGGTCTCAAAGTTGTCAAGCGCAACAGACCCATACCTCTTAGATCCTGACTGCCGCCATTGTAGTTAGACACCAGCCATGCTGCACAGTGACCAGGCAAGGTTGTGAGGAGGACCCCGGTGCTGGGCAGACGTGCCGAGACTCACAGCCTTGTGCATGGTCAAATCGGAAACATAGTGATGTGCTGCCCCTTGACCTGGAATTTACCTATGGCTTCCTGTTTGTTGAAGGCTTTTCAGCATTGTCTTTGAGATTTGCTCGCTGCTTGTGAAACTCTCTCAGTGCTGCTTGTCCTAAGGGCTAGTTTTGCTGATGTCAGTTCCACCTGCTGCCGGGGTACCCACAGACTAATGGTCACCCAGGCAGATATTGTGCTCATCTCTGAGCTTCTGTTTTGAACATGCTATCTAGACATGTGATGGTTCGGTGTTTTTTGGTGGTGGTGGTAGGTTTTTTTGTTTGTCAACTTGACACAAACCTAGAGTCAGTCATCTGGAAAGCGGGAACCTTAACTGAGGGATTGCTTTCATAAGATTGCCTTGTAAGGTAAGTCTGCGGGGACCTTTTCTTGATGAATGATTGAGAAAGCCCAGCCCACTGGGGGTGGTGCAACCGCTGGGCAGCTGGTCCTGGGTCCTAGAAGAAGGCAGGCGGAACAAACCACAGGGAATTCGTGAGCAGCCTCCCTCCGTGGTCTCTGTTTAGTTCCCGCCTTGATGGATTGTAAGCTATAAGGGGACATAAGCCCTTTCCTACCCAAGTTGCTTCTTTTGGTCATGGCACTTATCATAGCAACAGAAAGCAAAGTAGGACAATAGCTACCTTACTCCAGGTTCCGCCCACTACTGAGAACCAAACGCAGGGGCTCATGCTCGCTTGACAAGTGTTTGCCACCGAGATATGTCCTCGACCCCTCGAAGGAAGAGGCTTTAGAAATCTCCTAGCTCTGTCGTCTTAGAGTCTAGAGCAGACAGAGCCTCTTTGCTTTTTCTCTAGACTAGTGTACGGGGGCATTTCTGAACTTCTTTTCATGAGTCCTCTTGGTCCGCATTGACAATGATACTAAGTGCATCTAATCTAAAAAAAAAAAAAAAAAGTAACGTTAATTCTGACTTTCCTACTTGGCGTTTCCCGCAGCAAACTAACCTCTTACCGCAACTGCTGTGCGGCCCTGGCCAGCCATTCCCGATGCTACGCCTTGTTTCTAAGTCTATTGAACAAATACCAGAAGAAACAGGTCAGTCGTGCATGTCTGTCTTCGGTGTCCTCAGTGCGCTGGTGTGCTTGTGGAGTGAGTCCATGTTTTCACCGCATCCGTTCCCACCAGAAGCTTCCAGAAACTGCCACCCCACACACACACGTGGTTGTTACCATATTTTAGGTGGTGGCCTGTGGGAGCTCCATTCCTCTTGGGGACTTACAGCTTACTTGCTTGAGTTGTCCTGGTGTGGCTATTTCAGTAGAGGCCTCACTGAACTTCACCCCAGGTCTGTAGATTCAGACAAGGAGAGTGAGTCCTGCCTGTCTGCATTTTAACAAGAACCACAGAGACTTAGCACGCAGGCAAAAGCTTGGGATGCTCTATGTGGGATGTACCATGAAGATTTTTTTTAGTCTTCAAATTCACTAATTCTTTGATCATGTTGTATTTTAAAATATGGAATTCAAGATATAAAGTATTTGAAGGTCTTTCTATCTATGTATCTATCTACCTATCTATCTATCTATCTATCTATCTATCTATCTATCTATCTATCTATCTATCATCTATCTATCTAGGTGTATAATTTATGAATGCCTGAGTGTCTGTCTGTCTACCACATGTGTGCAGGGACCCTAGGAAGCCAGACGAGGGCATTGGATCCCTTGGAACTGGAGTTACAGGTGGTTGTGAGCCTTATCTGGAATTAGAACCTGGGTCCTCCTGCAGGTACTCTTAACCGCCGAGCTAGCCCTCCCACCGCCAGGACGAAGAATTTATGAAGTAACATAGTTTTCATGGATCTGGGGAAATGTCTAATAGATTGAAATTACATTATTTCTTTAACACACACAGACACACACCACCACCAGCACACCACATGGGACCCAGGGGTCGAAGTCAGGTCAAGTTTGGCAGCCAGTTCCTTAACCTTAACCTGGCGAGCCTTCCTGCCAGCCTGTAGTTGTTCTCAGTTGATAGGCTTAGCCAGATGTAGCGGCACACACCTGTAATCCTGATACTTGAGAGGGGATATAAGTAATTAAGAGGCCAAACTGGGCTACACGTGACTGTCTCAACAGAAACGTCATACACGACTTCTCCTAAATACAGTTTTGATACTTGGTGCAAATGTGAACGTTTGACTACCTGCAAATGACTGAAGTGGGACATTTCAAACATGGACTCCGTGTGTATTTATTTTGAATATGGCAAGTCTCTCACATCACTTAAGTTGCAGCAACTCCAGACCAGTTGTTGAAGTCACTTGCATACAAGGACAAGATTCAGTCATCACTTTGTTTTTATGCCAGACACAATGCTCCCTGAAAACATCAACCCTATTTGAATTTTTCCAGCCAAGTGTTTCTGCTGAAAATGACAAAATTTTTTGGCTTACATTATTTTAGCCATTTATTGTTCCTCTTTCAGTGAGGGGGAAATTTCTGTCATTACCTCCACTTAAAGGTAAGACCTTGCTGAAAGTCCTGCTCACTTATGTTAAATATTTACTTCATTTGTGTGTACTTCATATGTGTGTACCCATATGAGAGAGATGGGGTGAAAGTCAGGAGGCAGGAAACAAAGGGCAGAGGGCAGAAGCAGGCAGGGCCTTGCTATGTAGACCAGGCTAGCCTAGAATTCACTATGTAATCCAGGCTGACCTCGCCCACAGAGGCCAGAGGTCAATGTTGGCCATCCTCTTCAATGGGTCTCCATCTTAAGTTTTGAGACAGGGGCTGTCACAGAACATGGAGCTCACTGATTGGCTAGGCTGGTTGCCAGCGAGCCACCAGCTGACCTGTTGGCCCCACGGCCATGCTCTCCTCCACTCATGCCTTATTGGTGAGTTTTGAATACTTCTTCCTTGCCCGAGGTCAGAACAGTTCACCTGTGGCACAGTGGACAAGCAGGGGCTCCCTGCACACCGTGGGCTTTCACTGGGACTCTCTGGAGTGTCCTTTCCTCGGCTTGAGTGGGGGTGGGGAACGAAGGGAAAACCATGCAATGCTCAGGGGGCGAAGCGGAGAGCAACAGGTCTGCAGCGTTAATGTCATCTCCACAGGGAAGGGCTCTGTCATGGCGGGCGCAGGCAGTACCATTTCCGGGCACACACTAGGTCACATTTTAGCCGCTTGCTCCCTCTAGGTATAATAGCATCCCCTTTGTTCCCTGGACTCCTTGGTGGTTATAGTTCAGGGTCACATCCTCCTGAATTTGGACTCAAGTTTTCAAGGCATCTACTTCACTGCAGGAGGCAGATGACATGTGTGTGATGAGGCAGGGTTTGAGACAAGCCCTCATGTAGCCCAGGCTGCCTTTCAACTTGCCAGGCAGCCAGGATGACCTTGAACTCCTGCCCAGTCTGCCTCCACCTCCGCCACAACCAACCGAGAGAAATCATTTTTAAATGGTCGATTTTATCTTCTGCTTTAACTTTTCAAAAAAATATCTGTGGAGCTGGAGAGATGGCTCAGGAGTTAGGAACACATGCTCTTGCAGAAGGCCCAGGTTTGATTCCTGGCACCCACAGGGTGGCTCACAGCCATCTATAACTCCAGGCCCAAGGGAGCCAAATGCCTCTTCTGGCCACCTCAGACACTAAGCATGCATGTGGTGACATGTGTGTGAAGCAAACACTAATACATATAAAATGAAATAAATAAATATGAAAATGACATTTCAGTTTTCCAGTATCCCTTATTATGTCTTTTACTTAACTATTGCAATGTTAGAGTTTTGAGCTATCATTTTATTTCTAGTAAGGAAAATACATGATTTCTATCTTCCTTAAAGCCAAAATATTTGAGAAGAGCAGGGGGAGTAGTCAGGCGACAAGGAAGTGATTTTGCATCCTCATGTAATTAACCAAAGCTCCCATAAGTCCTGTACAAGTCTGTTGCTGCTGGTCCCAAGGTCATCATTTTATGAAGCTGCCTCCTTTACTGCCATGAGCTCCATGGAGACCCAGGCCATGACGTGAGGATGATCCTCACACGGGAGGCTCTTGATGTGGAAAGAATGAGTTTTGTTGAAAGATTATTAATGTTTAATATTGATTTATATTTTAGTAAAGCAGCGGTTACTCCCTCGACAGCTCTATACCCAAATCACCACACAGAGAGACTAGGATTTATTTTATTACCCTAGAGCACAATGCTGGGCAATAATTACTCCATCCCAAACCTCCAAGCCCGAATAGCTTCCTCCCATTCAGATTTCCCACATTACATTTTCTTTTCAGTCATATCCTAGGACCAGTTAATTTCTCCTGAAGTTTCCCCATCTTCTGAAGTTCCCCATCCTCTCCTCATGGATCTATCCTTCTTCTTCTGTCCTTTCTCTACCCCTCACCAGACCAGGATGCCCCACCCTATTCTCTGTACTGCTCAGCATTGGCTGTTTGGCTCTTATTGGCAATACAGAGAAAAAATGGTGACATGTTTACACAAACTTGACACAGGAGATGCTTAGAATAAACATCACAATGCCATGTCTGGATTGAAACAAGATAGTGGGGTAGAGAAATCAGCGTTTGAATGAACAAGGGTAAACTGTACACAGTCCACAAGAACATTTTGCCAACAGATTTTGTAGTTGGTGAAATGCTCTGGAATCTGTAAAGTGTTAAAAAAATATTTTTTCTCAATACTCAAGTATCTTCCTTAAATACTTATTGTTCTCTTCCTGGTTTGGAGGAGGGCATGCTAAGAACTTTCCTCCCTTCTTTTCATACCAGTGGGCTGCCATTGCAACAGCAAAAGAGAAAGGATAAATGTAACGTTAACTCACATCAGCACAGACCCAAGGGAATAGCCCAAACCGAATTACCACCCCACCCCACCCCAGTATATAAAGCCAGTTTCTAGAGATTCTATGCCCTTCCCTAATGTGCTTTGTTTGCCGTGGTCTTGAGTTTGTTACAGCTGAGAGTTGCCTGGACATGGAGGTTTAAAGCCCATCTTCAAAGTGGAACTAAGCCCCATGGCTTACTACTGCCTCTGATTATTTATGTTTCGGCTGTATGACAAACTGTTTCTGCAAGGGTTAGCTTGGGTTGGAGAAATATATTTGAAAGCTTTGTAGTCTCTTAATGTAAGTTCCTAGCAGCAGGAGCTTAGCCATTGGGAATGGTCTGGAGCACCATTGTTCTGGGAGGTTTTGTTTATTTCTAAGTCAGTCTCCATCCCACCCCCATCCACCCCTCGAAGGAGGAGGGGGTCATTTCCAAGGAATTTGCCTAATTAACTTTCAGAGGGTTCTAGACACCCACATTTCATACTTCAGCTACGCCTGCTCCATCCCAACATGCGTGATCTTGTCTGGCGCAGAGGCTTAGCGGAGTCCACCTGGTTAGGATTTGGCTAGGAGCCCCAGGCAATGCTAGGTTCTGATTAAAACTGTGGCATTGGGAAGCAGTCTTGACCTGCACTGTGACAGAACACCTATATAACAAAAGTCAGAGACCTGAAAGGGAGATTTTTCTCTCAATAGATACCAAAGTACAGTATGGTTTGGAAGATGAAAGCATGTATATGTCATTGAGCTCATTAACTGCTGACTCAAAAGCTGCAGACAATAAGAAGTACTAAAATCCCAGTACAGATGAATTCAGTCCCTAAGCCCCAAGTCTCAGTCAGCTTCGAAAGCTCCAGGCTGGGAAGTTGGATTGGATACGTCTGCCCCAACCATATAGACTGCTGTACTCGGCTATAGGAGGCTGAGACAGGAGGATTGCCAAGTTTAAAGGCTGCCTGGAGCAGAGAGTGCATTCAACTTAGTGAGACCTTAGCTGGATCAAATGTTTAGGAGAGGACTGGTGTGTGTAGGGCCAAGTGGTGGTGCTCTTGTCTGGTGTGAGAAAGTCCCCAGGTTCGGTGCCCAGCACCACAGATAAAATGCGGTGAGACCCGTGGGAGCAGCCTGCATCGAACTCTGAAGTTTTATCTTCATACAGTATTTCAGTCTTACGATAATAACATGTGTTTGTAAACATTGCTTTTGTTGTTGTTGTTGTTGTTGTTGAATCAGTTGAA